TTAAAATAGCAATATCACTCTACACGTACATGTTTCGACGTGATCTACGTCATCCACTTGTAATAGTCTTGTAAGTTACTCCTGAGGATGATGTAGATCACGTCGAAACATGTACGTGTAGAGTGATATTGCTATTTTAAAATGGGAGCCGTACTGCTTCAATCAAGTTTTTATTGTGTAAATATAAAACGTTGTTTTTAATTATCAATTATAATTTTAAAAAATTTAAACAAAAGTGCCGGTAGTGCATATTTATAATTTATATTTATATCCTATTTTTTATGGTTTAAATTTAAATTTACCGAACCTGTACAGAGAGTAATTAATGAAAATTACAGATAAAACATAAAGTTTTTTTTCTAAAGAAACGTTTGATAACTAACTATCTGGACATTCGAAAGATTTCGCATATGAAATGTCAAAATTTTCTTTTAATGATAGATGGGAAAAGGAAAAAAAAAAAAGGCACGAGAGAAACATTGCTTTACAAACCTTATAACTTACTGATATTATTCGTATGAAAGTATTGTAATGTTTTCTGATAATCTGCCAAATTTCCTTAACGTTCGCTTTCTAATTTAAAAGTTATAGCATAAAAAGTATAACAAGCACAAAATGGTTACGAGGTCGTCACATTGTCTGACCCCGTATTGAAAGAGTTATACCACGATCATCATTTTGATTTATAAGTCATCACCATCAAATGTCTGAAAATTAGAATCATCGACAGTTATAATTTCATGCCCTTGGCTCTATCCTCGTTTCTGAAAACGTTTGGTTTAGAAGACCTATAGAAAGGGAACTTTCCCGCGTCTTTTCAATGTAGAATCAAAGTAAAAGTATTGAATAGGTATACCGGACGTCAGTTTTTACTCTCCTGATACCATTTCTGCACCATAAGACGAAAAATCCTGGATTGACAATGTCAGCAACGATATAAGTGTGGACTGAGGATTCTTTTGCAGTATGTGTCTGTGAGTTGTTGATAATAAACTCGACAATAAACGGACAGTACACACTCCATTTGTTTTAAAATAATATCTTCAAAACAAATTAAACGCATGTACAAAAATTATTTACACCATATATATCACAGTGACTCTAAATAATTATCTTTTCTGCTCAAAACTCCACTTAGGCTGATTCATTTACTTTAGAAGGCAATTGACAAATGAACTATTTCCTCTACTCTTATCGCAGTAGTATCAGTTAATAATTCACTTACACTACACTGTGAGTTATCACAGTTTTTCTTAAACTTCAAATGATTGTCTCCTTTTCGACAAAGTCCTCACAGGCGAGTTCAGTTACTTTAGAACACCCTTTGACAAGACAAATTATTTTGCTTATCTTTATTGAACTCTGAAACTCACTTTAAAATATCACCTGTTAACTCTAATCACTCGCACGCCGAACTTTCTGTAAGGGATGTGAACAGCTATAATATAAAAATACTCATTCAAGGTAACGAGGAAAAAAGCGAAGGTTCGAGTAACATGAAGTTAACAATATTAGTAAAGCTTAGAAAACAATACAATTACAAACACAACGTATGACTTTTACCAAGTTATGTAACCAAATTTGTCATAACTATCGCCTTTAAAGTAATTAACTTTAAACTCTCTTGTTATGAAAAACTACACAATCATTATATATGAACTCACAAAATTAGTTAAATAAAAACACTTACACTGAACAGTCTTGTATATCCAACAGAGAGGAAGGGCACATCTTTCACTTTCAAGAAAAGATGTACATGTAATAACACTATCATTGTTGACTCCTAAATTTTCACTGATCTCTCATTGAACGTTATATTTATTATCCTTTCTTTTTTTTCTTTAGATATTTCAAATTCAAACGTAGATAGACTTCAATGGTACTGTCTTCAATTCAGAGAAGAGTTTCTCACAACCTGCAACATCTATCCCTTTAGATACAGTAGCATTGCTTCTGTTTGCAAGGTTGTGCAGAAGCAAATTTACACCACCAAGATCGATAGCTCTCATACCTAACCACGTATACTTTACATCCAACAACTACAACCAAGTATGTATCTGGTGGTTAGATTACTTACAGAAATCGTAGGGTGTCCATATCCAACTGTACTTAATGGTGGTGGGAATCAATATCTGAGTTATGAAGTAGACAGTTTCAGTAAGGAGCAAAATACAATATGCATGGGTGCAATACATGTTATAATTGTGATACACAGAATATGGTTCTAAATAGACCCATGTGTTTGAAAGAAAATGTACATTAGAAAGACAACAACTCGAAACTCGGGGGTACAAGATCATATCGATTTTGGAACATGAATTAAAAAATATGAAATCTAATGATTCCCACTTTATAAATTTCCTTAGGGATCACACAGTTGTTTTCCACCTGATGTA